AATAAGTGCCAATTTTATTTTATTAGATACAACTAAGGACATATGGGAACATGCCAAGAAGCTTTATTCTGGGCAGGATAATATTACAAGGGTATATCAGCTCTATCAGGAGTATTTCTATCTGCAGCAAGGGAATAAAACCCTAGAAGAGTACTATGCCAGTATGAAGAACCTYAKAAATGAACTCAATGTCTATCATCCCCTCACTCCAGATGTTAAGGTTCAGCAACAACAGAGGGAACAATTAGATGTCACTAGGTTCTTAGTGGGGTTGAAATCAGAATATGAACYAGTTAGGRCMCAAATATTGGGAGGCTCTACTCTTCCTACACTTGAGGAAGTTTTTGCATAGCTCAGTAGGATTTCTTTGGGATCTACAGAGAATCCCACACAGTCTGACAGATCAGCATTTGTGATAGTCAGAGGAGGTGGACGTGGTACTAGAGGGGGAGGACATGCCCCCCGAGGAGGTCGTGGTGGTTCCGTATTTGGCCGTGGTGGTGGTCGTGGTCGTGGCTCGGGGGGAGGCCGTGGTAAAGGAAAAAGTAACTCTACAAGGAAGTGTACCCATTGTGGTAGGGAAGAACATTTGGTGAATTTTTGTTGTGATCTCCATGGCCCTCCTTCTACATGGGCTAATCATGCAGTAGCTGGTGGGGTTGATGTCAGCGATAACCAACAGGCAGATCTAACCTTCCACGTCTACATCTGTTTCTGGGAAGGAGATGGTGAGTGTATCGCGCGACGAGTATGAGAGGTTCCTCCAGGCTACTTCACAGCATACTACAGCCACCCTTGCCCACTCAGGTATAGCTTGTCTGGCATCCAAACCCTCTCCCTGGATTATTGACTCTGGAGCCTCTAATCACATGACCGGGACTCCAGGTGTGTTCTCTTCCCTCTCTAAAACTTCCACATCTTAAACTTTACCCTTGCCAACGGTTCCTCTTCTCCCATCTGTGGTGTTGGTAATGTTGACACGACCTCTCTTTCTTTATCATCTGTTCTATATGTCCCTAAGTTTCCATTTAATCTTATGTCTATTAGTAAATTAATCAAGACTCTTAATTGCTCTATTACATTTTTCCCTTCCTTTTGTGTTTTTTAGGATCTCAAGACGGGGAAGAAGATTGATGGGCGGCATGAGGCTAGTGGATTGTATTACCTTGACGGTGGTGGATCGTCAGTTGCACTTCAGGCTTCACTCACTCCTCTACAGTGGCATTGTTGACTGGGACATCCATCTCTCAAGGCACTCAAGATACTGGTTCCGTCTTTGAGTCATTTGTTGTCTTTACAGTGTGAGTCGTGTCAGTGTGGGAAACATCGTCGGGTTCCCTTCAATCCTAGAGTTGATAGTCGTATGTTGAGTCCTTTTGCTTTGGTTCATTCAGATGTTTGGGGTCGTGAATACTTTCTTACTTCCTTTCAACAATATTTAGAACAGCATGGTATCATTCATCAAACTTCATGTGCATCCACTCCTCAACAAAATGAGGTAGCTTAACGAAAGAACCGTCATCCCCTTGAAACTGCTCGGTCTATTCTTCATCATATGAGTGTTCCTAAATGATTTTGGAGTGATGCTATATTTACTGCGTGTTTCCTTATTAATCGGGTGCCCTCCTTCATTCTTCATGGTCGGTCTCCCTTTTCTATTTTGTTCCCCACCTTGTCTCCCTTTCCATTAACACCCCGCATCTTTGGCTGTGTGTGCTTTGTTCACAATCTGAGTCTTGGGATAGACAAGCTGGATGCACGCTCAATTAAGTGTGTCTTTCTTGGCTACTCTCGGACTCAAAAAGGGTATTAAGCGTTACAATCCCATTACTCGGAAGTGCTATGTTTGTCCTGATGTCACCTTTTTTGAGTCTGTCCCCTTCTTCTCGGGACCTGAAGCATCGGTGTCTCCACCTTTGCTTCCTCTTCCTCTTCCAGTCCGTGATCCCGTTTTGGTTGTTCCAGTTGGGGTTGACCCTTCACCTCCTCCAGTGTAGATCCCTACTGAACGACCACCGATCCGGCATGTGTATACTCATCGACAGACACCGGCTCCTCTTCCAGCTTCTACCTTGTCTGCGGATCCTGTTGTTGTTCTTGTCCCAGAACCTTTAGGACTTGATCTTCCCTTTGCTTTATGGAAAGGTAAACGTAGTTGTACCCTCCATCCCAGTTCCAATTTTGTTTCAGTCTCTCGCCTTTCCACTTCACATCGCCAATTTGTTTCACTGTTATCATCTATTTCTATACGTAAGAATGTCCAAGAGGCTCTTAGCTCACCTGGGTGGTAGCAGGCAATGGAGGAGGAACTCTCTGCCCTTCAGCATACTCAMACGTGGGAGCTCWCTACTCTTCCWCCYGGTAAGCATGTTGTGGGTTGTAAATGGGTGTATACTGTTAAATACTTGCCGTATGGTAGTGTGGAGCGTCTGAAGGCCAAACTTGTTGCTAAAGGTTATTCACAATTGTATGGGGTGACTATATGGAGATCTTCTCTCCAGTGGCTAAGATTGGCTCAGTCCGTGTCTTAATTTCCTTGGCAGTTATGTATGATTGGCCCTTGTTTCAACTTGATATTAAAAATGCCTTCCTTCATGGTGACCTTATGGAGGAGGTATATATGGAGCAACCACC